TCCAACTTGCTCTTTCTTGCTACTTTTTTTTTAAAAGTCAGGGTCTTGCTAGGTAGTCCAGGTTAACCGTGTACCTACCATCCTCCTGCCTCCACCTCCCGAGCACTGGGATCCCAGATATATCCTGCCATGCCTGACTCTTGAGACTTTTTCTAATTATTTAATTCAGTTACTCAATGTGCTAGACACCACCATCTTGCAGATGAGGAAATAAGAATTTAAAGATGTCATTGACTAACTTGGCTAACACCTACACAGCAATGCAACCATCTGTTGAACCGAGGTGTGCCGAGCTGCTAACACAGTAGAGGAGAGCAGAGAGTCCCAGTGGGTTCCTGGGAATGACAGCTTTTAAATACCCATAAAAACAGGGAAGCCTGGAAAGAACACAGAGTAAAACAGGCTCGACAAGAGCGCAGACAGGACAACGTGGTATCACAGTGCAGAATGAAGAAAGCTTTGCTGGAAGAGTGACCAAATTGTTGGGGTGCACCGTGTAGCATGAGTCGGTTGAAGAAAGAAGGCACTCCAAGATGAAATTCTAAGGTCTATGTGGCAACGGGAAGGTCCAGCCTCTTCTGATGGACTGAACCCTGAATAGCCATACAAAGGGTATTTATTGAAAGTTACACAAAGTATTTCCTCATACCAAGGTCTCTGACCTAATTTACATGTCTTGCTGAAGGAGAGCATCACATGCCCCCATGACTCTAGTCTTTGTCATGTGTCATTTGCAATACGCAATAATACAGGAGTCTCAGGTGTGCACGAGGTGTCTTGTGACCAGAGTCATGAGATGACTGCAATGCCCCTTCAGCAAAACTATCACATTTTCCACAGAGATTCTTCAAGGTCAAAGCACTTCTAAAGAACAGCTGTTCATTCTAATGTCCATCCAGATATGGTGTTCTGCTAAATTCCTACCATAATAAATGAAAATAGAAGTCATCTGTAAGGACAGGAAACCAGCCTGGTGTTGGTGGCACTCAGGAGGCAGAGGCAGGTGCGTCTCTGTGAGTTTGAGACCAGCCTGGTCTTCAGAATGAGTTCCAAGACAGGCTCCAAAGCTACAGAGAAACCCTGTGTCAAAAAAGAAAGAAAGAAAGAAAGAAGGAAGGAAGGAAGGAAGGAAAGAAGAAAGGAAGGAAGAAAAGAAAAAAGAAAAGAAAACAAAAGCGAAAGAAAAACGAAACAGAAACACAGTGTGTTTGGTGCGAGACATGCTGTCCCAGAGGACAACAGCCAGAGGGGACTCTGGTGGGCCTCTCTGAGCTCTGAGTTTTGTCACTGAACTCTACTCCTGGTTCTATATCTTTATTTTTGCTATCAAAGGTGTCTTGAGCTTGGCCAAATATCAGTAGGGAGGGAGATTATGTGCATATGGAAAATAAAATGAACAAATAGAGACTAGGGCCATTCTATCCGTAGGCAATAAATCCCAAAGATCAGAAAGCAGGGGCTCAAGACGGTACTTGCACACCAACATTTGTAGCAGCGTCATTCACAGTATTTCAAAAGTAGATGCAGCCCAGTATCTGTCAGCAGATGAGTGGATGGACTGACTGTGTACAGGACAGCGGGATATCATCCGGCCTATTAGAGGAGTGGCAGGGAGAAGATGCTGAGTAAAATGGGGCAATGCAAGGGAAAGTTGCCTGCGGTTCCTCTTACAGTGGGCACTTCGAGTCCAGATCCAAAGGCAGCAGCAAGAGAGAAGTCACTGGGCCTGGCTTGGGTTTTTAAAACCTCAAAGTCCACCCCATGACACACTTCTTCCAACAAAGCCACACCTACTCCAACAAGACCACACCTCCTAATCCTTTTCAAGGAGTGTGCCAGCCACTTCCTGATGACTAAGCATTCAAATCTACAAGCCTATGAGAGGCTCAAACCACTGCACTATGTGCTGCCATGTGGTACTGGGAACCGAGCCCACATCCTCTGCCAGAGCCACCTGTGTTTGTAGCGTCTGAACTCTCCAGCTCCCAAAGCAGCTGATATTTGACCTGGTATGGGAGGTCCTTCTGTCTATGTGTTGCTTTTATTGGTTAATGAATAAAGAAACTGCCTTGGCCTGTTGATATGGCAGAACTTAAGTAGGCAGAGAAAGCTGGACTAAATCTGGGAAAAGGAAGGCAGAGGGGGAGATGCCATGGATCTGCAGCCAGAGATAAACGTGCTGAAACTTTGCTGGTAGGCCACAATCTCGTGGTGATGCACAGTTTAATGGAGATGGGTTAAATTAAGATGTGGGTGTTAGCCAATAAGAAGCTAGAGCTAATGGGCCAAGCAGTGATTTAATTAATACAGCTTCTGTGTAATTATTTGGGCTCTAAGCTAGCCAGGCAGCTGGGATCCAAACAAGTGACCTCCTTTGGAAAGATGATATATAGCATGATTTCTTTTTAATGTCTGGGGAATTATTATTTTCAAGTAAGAAAAATTAATAGTAATAGAAGGATTAAGTCAAGCAGTTTTAGGGGCTGGGGCTGGGGCTCATAGTAGAGCAAGGCTGTGGGTTCAATCCTCAGTGTTATTCTCCCCCAAAAAGAGAACTTTTAAAGCAAGCTGAATGATGCTGAAGTCAACACTTTAGGGCATATCCTGCGAGTAAAACAATTCCTTGATAATACAGAATTAGGAGACCAGCAGATTTCTTTCATTTATAAATGTGTTGTCGGAGGAACCAAGACTTCCTTCTTTGAGCTTTATAATAGTAAGGGTTTTTTTTTTAGATTTAAACATATTAAATTGTAAACCAATACTGGACAGATACAAAGTCAAGCATTTTTAACTTTTAAAATTCCACTTATTATCATTGTGGATGTGATGCATGTTAGTGCAGGTGTACACTGTCCCTGGTTGGTCTAGAACAACTCTTGTGGTTTTACTGTAGAGAGGCAGGGGGCACAGGATGGGTGCAAAAGAGCTCAGTGAAGCACGTGGAAGGAACAGAAGACAGGCTAATAGTGCGCAATTTTAAAGATACCTATGGTTTGGTTCAGCATCTTCCATTAAACTGGTGCATTAAAGTCTAACATTTGAGGCGAGGAATGGTGCTGCACACCTTTAATCCCAGCACTCAGGAGGCAGAGGCAGGAAGCCTAGTCTGGGTAGCGATTCCAGGTCAGCCAAGACTACAGAATGAGACCCTGTCTCAAACACTCACTGGGGATGAGCAGACATAGACACCAAGCAGCACGGCCATGCAGTGTTCTTAGCCCTGCTGGAGGGAGGCGCAGGAGATGGAGAGTTGCAGTTAAGTGAACAAGGGCTTTGCTCAGCAGCTAAAGTGGAAACAAAGAAGGGCAGGGAGCTGCATATTCCCAGTGCCTGCATTATAACAACGGACCCAGCTCTAAGCTGTGTGAAAAAGTAAATGAGATCCAGACGTGGTGACACACCTGTAACCCCAGTACTTGGGAGGCTGAGGCAGGAGGATCAGAAGTTGGAGGTTAGCCTGGGCTACATAGTGAGACCCTGACTCAGGGTAAATGAGAACTGGAAGAGGGTAAGGGACTTTGAAAGGTGCCTGAGGCTTATGAGTTAGAGTTTCTACTATGGTTGAAACTGAGCTTCTAGAAGCATCCTGGGGGGATGATTAGAGACTAGGAACAGGCCAGAGAGGCTACTCTTACTGGTAATGACAGAGCCCAGGGAATTACTACAAAAGGCTGGAGGAGGATGGAGGACTAGCTCTTCGGAGTTTGCTGGAGGACTGGGAAGCCGGAGGACTGGGACAGCTGCCTTTGAGAACTGTCAGGATTTGTCGAGCGAGCTTGGGCAAGTCATCTGGCTCCTTGGTGTCTTCAGGAGGGTGTTACTATTTCTGCTTCACTGAGTCAGTGAGACGGAGAGCGCCACATCTGGAGTACACCTGTGCTCGGGAAGCAGCACAGCTGGGGCACAACTCCCACCTGAGTCCCTAGTAAACCTTAAAAGGCGCTCTTACTCTTTGGTCGGCGAAACATTAAAAACTGGTGGTAAGGAGTTTATCTATGCACTGGGAGGCACTTCCCACTGTCACTGCTGTTTCTGTGGAACACTGAACAGGGAAGACTGTAGACCCACCCCTCCGTCCTCCCTCCCTCCCTCCCTCCCTCCCTCCCTCTCTCTCTCCCTTTCATCCTTTCCATCTTTCCTTCCCTTTCTATCCCTTCTTTCTTTTCTTTCTATTCGAAGGTTTTATTTTACCCTTGTGTGTGTACGTGTGCCTGCCACACGTCTGTGAGTCCCAGTAGAGGCCAGAATAGGTCATCAGATCTCCAGAAGGAGTCAGGGTGGTCGGGAGCAGCCCTGTGTGGGTCCTCAGAGGAGAAGTGTGTGCTCTCAGCCATCGAGCTATCTCTCGGCCCCTTTTCTTTCTACTTTAAACAAGGTCTCACTAAGTGGCACAGCCTGACCTCAAACTCATGATTCTCCTGCCTCTACCTCGCAAGTGCTGGGCCTGAATGTGTACCACCATGTCCAACCTTTATGTTATTGTTTCTGAAAGTTTTTCAAATACTCCTGGTAGACAGGGAGAAGAGAGCTGGGTCAGTGTTGTTTTCATTAATTATTAAACTCTAATTTAGAACTTTCTTGGGGCTGGAGAGATGGCTCAGCGGTTAAGAGCACTGACTGCTCTTCCAGAGGACCCGGGTTCAATTCCCAGCACCCACATGGCAGTTCACAACTGTCTGAAAATGCAGTTCCCCGAGAACTGACACCTTCACACCAATGCACATAAAATAAAGTTAAATAAATCATTAAAAAATTAAAAAAGGAACTTTCTTGGTGGTTTTGTTGTTGTTGTTTGTTTTTTGAGACAGGGTTTCTCTGTAGCCTGTCCAGGAACCAGCTTTGCCTCGAACTCACAGAGATCCGCCTGCCTCTGCCTCCTGAGTGCTGGGATTAAAGGCATGCGCCACCACCACCCAGCTACTTTCTTGGTGTTTTATAATACAATAATTATTTTTCTATAGTTCTTTTAACAGTTTTCTGTTATTTCTTCCCAACAGAAGCCCAAATAAGCAAACCCAAAGAAATGTGTCAAGAAGGGTTGTCTAGACTCGCTCTGAGCAGCCACAGTAAACAGACCGAGTGCTCAATGGGAGAGAGGAAGACACGAGCAACAGCCCCGGAATTTATGGACTCCTTGCTGGAGTGTCGAAGACACCCAAGCAGCAGCCTCCAGAAGGACTTTCCCCAGGTATTCCAGAATTAACTGATAACAGAGAGAGAAGCAGGCCCACTGAGACAGCATGCATTCATCTAATCTGCCATTTGCTAAAATAACAGGAAGTCAGTTCACACGCTTCAGAATGAGGCTTTGTTTTGGGGTGGCCTTCCTCTGCCAGCTGCTGGCCTTTGAACAAGCTGACATCACGAGCCTCTTTTGCCTTGCCTATAAAGCTGGTGTGAACTCAGTTCCGGCAGAGCAGTCGTGAGGATAAGTTTAACGCACACTGCCACTACTCTCATTGCTGTGTCATGTACCTGACAGGAGTAACTTGAAGGAGGAGAGGTTTACTCTGGCTCCCGGCTTCAGTGAGTACCGGCCATCATGGCAGGAAGGCTCACTGGGCAGCGCCATCTGCAGCAGACTGGGAGGCCAGAGCATCCACGTCTTGGTGGATCAGGAAGCAAAGAAGTAGAGCCGAATGGCTGTGTCTGTCTACTATTGGCCATGCCCCAAAGGCTGGACAGCCTCCCGCCATAGCACCGCTAGCTGGAGAGCAGGGGTGGGGGAAATGGGCATTTCATTTCATGTTTAAATCATAATAGTAAGCAAGTCTGTGCTGATCTAAAGCAGAGTAAACTGAAATTCCTTTACCCCACTAATAGAACTAAAACTCAATACAACTTTTAAAACATAGGCAGTGCGTGTGTGTGTGTGTGTGTGCACGCGCATGTGTGTATTGTATGCATGTGGATATATTTATGTGCATGTGGAGGTCTTCCTCACTCTTCACCTTTTGAGGCAGGGTCTCTCACTGAGTCCAGAGCTCACTGGATCTAGTTAGGCTGACTAGTCAGTGTGCTGCACGGATCTGCCCATTTCTGCTCCCCCACTGCCAGGCCTGGCTTTAATATGGGTGCTGGTGATCGGCCCATGTCCACTCCCCCATGGCCAGGCCTGGCCTTAGTGTGGTGTTGGGGGTCTAATTGAGGTTCTCATGCTTGCACAGCAGGCAGAAACCAACTTCTGTTTCTTGATTTTGTTAAGGTGAAATCTGAGAAAATCTGTCAGCCTTTGCAAAGAGAACATCAGAATCTCCAGGAGCCTGGGCAGCAGCCTAAAAAATATCTTACTCAGGTAAAAGTCAGATCCCTTTACCTAATGGTATTAGCTAACTCTGTGTCAGCTCTTACTTAATTTTTGTCTGAATATATTAAGATGTATAGATTCATACTGCAAGGTTGATCAAATTGTATATTAAAATATTATAAATATATCATAACAATGAAAGAGAAAAGGTCACACAATTGGTTGTCTTCATCAACTGGATCAAATTTTCAACATTGTACTGCATTCTCTAGATCACTGAAGACTGGGGTTGTAGCTCAGAGGATAAGCACTTGCCTAGAATATGCAAAAAAAAGTCCTGGGTTTAATCCCCCATATTGGAAAGAATCCTTCTGGACCAGGCATTGTGGTCTTTAATCCCAAACACTCTGGAGGAAGAGGCCTGTGGATATCTGTAAATTCCAAACCAGCCTGGACTACATAGTAAGATCTTAAAACAAAGCAAACAAACAAAGAGTACACGTATGTTTATGTGGGGATAGGGGGTCCGGGTGGGGAGGCACGTGGAGAGATAGCTCTGTGGTTAAGAACATGCACTACCCTTGCAGAGGCCTGGGGTTCAATTCCTAGCACCCACATTGGGTGACTCACAACCCCCTGTAATTCCAACTCCCATAGAATGCTCTGGCCTCTTCCAAGGACTTGCATGTTTCCCCGCCACACACATACATGATTACAATTTTAAAAGGAACTTGCTGTGGATAATAGTCTGTACCCTGTCAATTGTATTTTAATAAAACACTGATTGGCCAGTAGCCATGCGAGAAGTATAGGCAGGGTGTCCAGGCAGGAAGTAGAAGTGGGGCAACAAGAACAGGAGAATTCTGGGAAGAGGAAAGCTCAGTCTGCAGTCGTCACCCAGACAAAGAGGAAGCAAGATGAGACTGCCTCACTGAAAAAGGTACCAAGCCACATGGCTAACACAGACAAGAGTTATAACAAGAGTTAATAAGAAGCCTGAGCTAATAGGCCAACCAGTTTATGATTAATGTAGACTTCCGTGTGTTTATTTGGGGCTAAATGGCTGTGGGACCTGGTGGGACAGAAACCTCTGTCAACAGTAACTCTTTTTTAAAAGAGTGTACACACTTTGGAATTAATGAAAGAAGTGAAAACATTCTGCAGACCACCTAGTCCACCATCCACATTAGTGGTGTCAGCCCTTCTGTCAAATGATGCATTGGTTTATGTTTGCTTTTTGTGAAAGTATAAACATAGTCTCTTAGTGTGTTGCTTTGGACCATTTTTTTTTTTTACAAGTAAAAAACCCTTAAGTACCTACAGTTTTGTTTGGTTCAACCAAAACATGTCATGGTTCAATGACATGCACATGGATGGAAGTGCTGCCTGCTGCTTTTCTGCATGGTTCTTGAAGCATGGACAACAGTCATGTGTCTTTTGTTTTAGTTTTTTGTTTTTCGAGACAGGGTTTCTCTTAGCTGTTCCGGAACTAGCCCTGTAGACCAGGCAATGCTTGAACGCACAGAGATCCACAGTCTGCCTCTGCCTCCCGAGTGCTGGGATTATAGGTGTGCACTACTACCGCCCAGCAGAGCCACGTGTCTTAAGGGTACATTTGCTGTTAGCGTCTCACTAACTGCAGCTTCGTTTCAGCGTCTGCTTGAAGACCTGGCTAAAGATGCAGAGCCTCAGAACTGCCTCTTGAGGCAAGTGGAGTGCATAGCACAGAGGCTGGGGGCGTCCCTGGAGGAAATCCAGAGGAGAGCTGCGGAGCCACAAGAGAAGGAGAAAGAGCAGAGAAAGTTAGGTGAGCCATGGCTTCAGCCAACCATTCTGGCTGTGGATTTACTGGGATGATCTGAGGCAATATACGCCAAGGGGAAAGGGACTCTAAGACGAACATGTGTCCCCAAGTCTTCAGAAAACACAGGCTTGACAGGCCCGCCCCAAAGGCACAGCCCAGAACTGTGTACCGCTCACCAGTAGGAGTCTCAGCATCCAGAAGACCCATTTGTTCCTTCACCCTAACGCTGGATCCTCCTTCCTCACCAAACATCACTCTCTCCCTACTTTGAATGCTGTTTCTGAGTTTTGATCACATGCAATATCATTCATTTAAATTTTTATTCTATTTATTTTTATTTTATGTGTGTGGGCAGTTTGCCTACATGTATGTCTGTGTTCTGTATGCATGCCTGGTGCTAGCAGAGGCCAGAAGAGGATATCAGAATTACACACAGACAGTAGTGAGCTGCTAGGCAGTAGTGTGGGTGCTAGGAATTGAACTTGGGTCCTCTGGAAGACCAACCAGAGCTCTTAACCATTGAACCATCTTTCCAACCCCATTGTTTAAAAAAAAAATTAAATGGTATGATGGTACACACCTTTGATCCCAGCACTTGAGAGGCAGAGATCAGCCTGACGTACATAATGAGTTCCAGCCAGGGCTGTGTAGAGAGACCTTGTCTCAAGAAATTAAAAAAAAAAAAACTTAAAAATACATTAAAATTTTTATTTTGTACATTTTTGCAGATGTGGGCAATACGCCAAGACACACACATAGAAGTCAAAGAACAGCTTAAAGCAATTCCTTCTACCATGTGGGTCACCACCACCGTTGAATGCAAGTTGTTAGACTTTGGGGCAGGTGCCTCTATCCTCTGAGCCATCTTGCCTGCGATATCCATTCTTTCAGTTTGTTCTCTTGCTTAGTCTCACAAATGGTGAGACTCTTTTATATGTCTCTGTTCACTATTACTGCTTTTATAATACTCCGTTGATGCTACACTGATCAATCTCCTGTTGATGGGCATTGTGATGTTTCTAGGTGGAGCTAGCACGAATTCTGATGCTATTAGCACCCTTGCATTTATCTTGTGGGTATTCACATATGCATAATCCAAATAAGAATGCACTGGATCAGAGACTGGGGCCGCATTCTCCTTTGCTCTTCCAAAATACAGTCATGTGCCCTTTAACCATAGGGATTTGGTCTGGAAAATGGATCATCAAGTAATTTCCTTGCTACACGAACTTCAGAGTGTGCTGACAAAAACCGAGATGGCTAGGCACTGTGTGGGAGGTTGAAGGTGGGTCAGGTTCATTCTGTGGCCCATAAGCACAATTAAGAACTCAGTAGTGTAAGAGGTCTGGTTCTGCACACTCCCTGGCAATGCTTGCTAATGAGTCAGTACTGTAGCCTGGCATGGTGAGGGTACAGTAGCATTAGCTGGCTTCACCGTGAGAGTCCTGGAGCCCTTGTGTCTGCTGCGGTGGCTGCTCACATTGTGTGCAGTTTGGAGCAGTCCCTGCTCTAGTCTCTCACACATTTCTATTCTAAACACATGCCTTTTCGTTGACTGCAAATATTCGCGTCTGCTCTTGGTTCTGCCAAATAGGAGCTCTATTTATCAAATACAGTTTAGGGGAGCACTTACCTGCTTTCTGTCTCTAGGGTTGTCTTTTCTGAACATTTCATATAAATGGCATCATACATGAGTGTGTATGTTTTCTTTCACTTTAACACACTTTTGAAATTCAACTATGAAACAGGTGTAACTGTTTCATTCCATTTTACTGCAAGATAAGCTAACCCTTGCTGTTTTTTAGGGGTTTTTCATAATGGCAATCATAATGGGCATAGAGTTTTGCTTAATTATGATTTTATGATTTTTATTTCTACTTCCCTGTGGCTACCATTAAGTATATTTTATATATTTATCAACTATGTGCATAATGAAAAATGTCTGTTCAACACTTTTTGTAGCTAGTTTCTATTGTTTTTTTAATTTTATTTTGTTGTTTTATGTGTATGGGTGTTTTGCCTGCATGTATTTCTGTCTATCATGTGCCTATGGAGGCCAGAAGAGGGCATCAAATCTCCTAGAACTGGTATTAACAGACAGTTGTGAGTCACCATGTGTGTAGGCAGAGTTTTCCTGTCCTGACTGCCTGCTCCCAAATAACTGACATAGAGGCTTTTATTAATTATAAATGTTCAGCCGATAACTCAGGCTTATTACTAACTAGCTCTTACATAACCCATTTCTATTAGTCTATATATTGCCATGTGGCTGTCAGCTTTACCTGTCCTCTAGCACATATTGCTTCCTAGGCAGCTGACTGGCATCTCTCCTGACTCTGCCCTTCTTCCCATCATTCTCAGTTAGGTTTTCCTGCCTAACTTCCTGCTGGCTACTGGCCTGTCAGCTTTTTATTAACCAATGGGAATAATACATATTCCCATTATACAGAAGGATTATTCCGCAGCACATATTGTTATGTTTAAGTAAAAATGTTGCAGGTCCCCAAGTAGCTGCAGTGAGCAGTGGGTCCTGAGACTGCGCTGCAGGTCCCCAAAGTGGCGGGAGGCAGTGGGCTGTGGGTCCCGAGAGCAGCCAGTCCCAGGCATGGACAGCACAGTTCCCCAAGTTTCTGTAGTGGGCCATGAGGGACAGCTAGTCCCAGGCAGGGAGTCATGTGGTAGGTGAGAGACCTTGATGGGGCAGCCAGTCCCACAAGGAGAGACAAATGGATGGGCATGCCATGAGACCACACAGCAGGTCTCCGAAGATGACTGGTCCTGGGCAGGGAGTCACGCAGCGGGCAAGAGACAGACAGATAGGCACACCATGTAGAGTGAGTTTATTTATTGGATATTTATTTAGTGGGTTATGGAGGGTATTGCAGGGAGAGTAGGGACCCTTTGTTTTTCCCAGCCCACCTGGCTAGTTTACACCCAAAATAACCACACAGATATTGTATTAATTAAATCACTGCCTGGTCCATTATCTCTAGCCTCTTATTGACTAACTCTCATATCTTGATCTAACCCATTTCTAATAATCTATAGATCACCATGGGGTCATGGCTTACCAGGAAAGATTCAGCATGTCTGACCTGGTGGCTCCATGGCAGCTCTCTGACTCTGCTTTCTTCCTCCCAGAATTCAGTTCTGTCTCCCCGCCTACCTAAGTTCTGCCCTATCACCAGGCCCAAAACAGTTTCTTTATTAACCAATGAAAGCAACACAAATACAGAACCTCCTACACCAGAGGGGAAAAGGGAGAAGGGGAGAAGAACAGAGAGAGAGGCAATATATATATATATATATATATATATATATATATATATAGAGAGA